TCTTGGTTGTGCCATTGGAGGTGGGCCAGGAGGTGGCCCTATTTGCACTTGTGGCTGGGGCACATATGCAGGCATTTGTAGCTGCTGTGGCTGATGCACTGGAATCTGCTGTATTCCAGTTGCCATTTGTGCTTGATCTGCAATATTGGCATGACCTGCTGGAGATGCAATCATTTGCCTTTGCTTCATAAAGTTTAATTGTGTTCCATCTAAAAGGACACCAACACCGCCAGGGGGTGTTTGAGTTTGGGCCTGTGGAAACACTTGTGGCATTTCAGCTTCCTGTAGTAAATTACTTTTGCCAGCAGATGGTGCTGCACCTTTAGCTTCGGGCAGCTTTGCATACGGGGCATTGTATGCTTTAGAGTAGGAGTGGTTATGTAAGACATGTGTAACTTGATCAGGGAGACTTTCATGTGACGTATGCAGTGCTCTTTGCCTTAATTGGCCTGACACAGGATCCACCAGGGGGAGTGTCTTTGGCTCTGAGCAAGAAGACAATATGGCGCTTTTTGAAAAATTTAAGTTATCTCCCATATCTTGCTCAAGCATAGATATAGCCATTTTTGCCTGGGATAGCTGCTGTTCATAGAGTTTTATACGGTCACGAAAGGCTTTCATAGTCAGGGTGAGCTTAGAGCTTCGAGGAGAATAATGAATTGTTTCTCTCTCTGCGTGGGAGTAATTTTGCTCAGCAGTGCTTGCACCGAGCGTTACAAATTCAGAAGGTTCTGAGGAGACTTTTTCAGAGCTTGGAAGATCAGAAGAAAATGTTACTGACCTCAGTCGTAAATCATCATCTTCAAAAACAGCTTCTGTCTTATCTCCATCCATTTCTGTTCCCACGGCTTCTTCTCGTTCCAGGCGTGTGGCTGTAGTAAGGGGCTGGAAATCTGGAAACCTCCTGTCTGCCACCTCTTCGTTGGAAAGATCAATCAAATCATTTACGAAGAGTGGTCTTGGTTTCACTTTGCCTTTTTTTCTTCTGTTTCGGCATCTCAGCAATATAATTAGCGTACCTCAGTAGCTAAAAACTAATTGCCTATGCGCTCTTATCAGAAGTAACAAAAAACAAGGGAAAAGCCATAAATCAGACCATCCTCGTGCTACCAGAATGTCAGGGCATTTATTAATCCCATGTTTGGCTCTGGGACTAATTACCCTGGTTTAAAGGAGATGTATCGTGGCTTATTCCAAGTTGTAATAATCTGAAAAGAAACGCGAGGAAAAGTTTCTAATAAAACTCATTTATTTGTTATAAAGAAAATAAAACACCTCACTAACTAAGAAAAGTTAATTGTTACATTTTTGAAAGTAATTCTTGCCGGCTATGTCAGCCGGACCTTGGCAAGAGAACAAAGGAAAGAGAGTGTGAAGAAGCAATTGAAGGAATGTGGGTGGATACGGAAACACGTAGCTTACTGATAAGAAGTTGGCAAAGCTACGGAGAGTCTGACAGTCCAGAAATAATGAGCTCAGCTGGTAAATAAAATAACGCAGTGACACAGTCCTCTCTCCCCTCCTATTTAACATCTACATGAAGCCGCTGGGTGAGATCAGCCGACGATATGGGGTAAGGTATCAGCAATACGCTGATGATACCCAGCTGTATATCTCTACCCCGTGTCAATTCAGGGAGGCGGTGGATGTGATGTGCTGGTGCCTGGAGGCTGTGAGGGTCTGGATGGGAGTCAACAGGCTCAGACTTAATCCAGACAAGATCAAGTGGCTGTGGGTATTGCCTCCTAAAGACTATATTGATTGTCCATCCTTGATTTTGGAGGGGGGGGAAATTGTCCCACTCAGAATGGGCTCGCAATTTGGGTGTCCTCCTAGACTCACAGCTAAGATTAGAGCAACATCTGTAAGCTGTGGCTAGGGGGACCTTTGCAAGGTTTGCCTGGTGCACCAATTGCGACCCTACTTGGATCAGGAGGCTCTCCTCACAGTCACTCATGCCCTTGTGTAATAATCTAACCATGCACCTCATGGTTAGATTATTGCAATGCGCTCTACATGGGGCTACCCTTGAAAAGTGTTTGGAGACTACAGTTGGTCCAGAGCACAGCTGCGCGAGCTGTCGTGGGTGCACCTAGGCACACCCACATTACACCAATTCTCCGCAAGCTGCACTGGCTCCCTATTGGTTTCTGGTCACAATTCAAGGTGTTGGTTATTATCTTTAAAGCCCTACATGGCTCAGGGCCAGGTTATCTTCAAGACCGCCTTCTACCGCATAGCTCCCAGCGACCGGTAAGATCCCACAGAGTTGGTCTCCTCCGGGTCCTGTCAGCTAAACAATGCTGGCTGGCAGGCCCGCAAGGGAGGGCCTTCTCTGTGGCTGCCCCAGCTCTTTGGAACCAGTTACCTCCTGAGGTCCGGACCATCCCCACCCTATTGGCCTTCCAAAAAGCAGTGAAGACCTGACTCTTCCGGCAGGCCTGGGGCCATTGATCTCGCTGCTGCGATCTGGCAAGATCCGGCCATGAATGGTGTGAATGGGTTTTAATTGTTTTTAATGCTTTAATTTTTAATGTTTTTATATATGGTTTTTAAATGCATTGTAAGCCACCTTGAGTCTTCAGAGAAATGCGGCATACAAGTTGAACAAACAAACAAACAAACAAACAAACAAATGCCTTTCTAACAACTGCTGAATAATATCTATTTCTTCACACAGAAATGTAGGCAGTTTCTTTTTAAACAGGCTCCTAAATTATTTCTAAACCTAAATGTAAGTAATAGTCTCCATTTATTTTCTTATTCTTTACATGGCTTGACTTCATTACCGAATACCAAGACAGTTTGTAACTGAGGTTTCCTCATTCCACACTTTTCATTACTTAAGGTAATTGTCCATTTCTTGGGTAATAGCAGGAGTTCAACATTATTTAGAACTTTCAAAACACTTTTCGAGAGGCAGCTGACTTAAGCAGTTTCCCCATTAACTGCTTTCTGTGATTTTTGAGCAAAGAACCACATTATTAAATATTGTTTTCCTTTTTCCCCAGAGCTGTTAATTTTATCATTTTCAGTCTCACTTGCTTTAGTGTTAATTGATTTCTGTTTTTGCATGTTTGTCTTTTATGAGGTCTTGTATCAAAGCCACTTGCAGGGGGGGGGGTCATGTGTAGTTCACAGAAATAGGTTCTAACCCTCAAGGCAAAGCTTAGGAAATGTGGTTGGACAAACACTTTTTTTCATTCATTGCCAGGAATTCATCCTTAATCCACTTCCTATCCATTGCCCACCACTACCCAGGCTCAATACCTGATTCCCCCAAGGACCCTCTCAGTATGGCTTTGGAAGGTGTTACCTGCTCTTCAACCACATATTACGCTTTAATGTCACACAGTCTCATTATTCCCCCTCTGTTTACTTGTAGTGCATATTTTGTCACAGAGGTCTTCCAGCTTGGGCAGAAGTAGTATAAAATCAAATTTAAGCTGTTAGCTAAAATCATGGAAAGGAGCAGAAAATATTTTTTTAAACTGATATTTTTCTCAAGTTAAATACCATAGGATACTACTTAGAATAGTAGTACTACTTTGTCTGATGACTCAATATCAGCATAGGTTGAATCTTGATAAAAGAAAGGAAGATGTAACAAGAGGAAATCTGCATGAGAGAGAAGATCTGTTCCTGGACCTGAGATAGGACATGATATAGACACACACACACACAGCCAACAAATGAGGGATGCTATTGTGCATATTTTTATACCTATGCTAATAAAGGAGGATGATCTGATAATTTTGGGTATCAATGTTCTGGCAATCAAAGAATTTGGCCTGTTAGATGCATAGAAGATTCCATCACAATGGCCTGCAACTTTCTGAATCGACTCTGCTGCAAAATTTCCTCATTGGTGACATGGTTGTGCCAAGGGAATCCTAGAATGGGGGTGTAAATAGTCAATTTATGACAGAATAATTTAACCCCATTGACACAAACCAATTGTTTCCATTCAGTGTCATCTAGTCCAATCCCCCGCTCAAGCAGGAGACCCTACACCAATTCGGACAGATGGCAGTCCACTGTCTTTTTGAAAGCTTCCAGTAATGATGCTCCCACAACTTCTGAAGGCAAGCTGTTCCATTGGTTGATTGCTCTCACTGTCAGAAAATTTCTCCTTATTTCCAGGTTGAATCTCTCCTTGTTCAATTTCCATCCATTATTCCTTTCTGGCCATCAGGTGCTTTGGATAATAGCTTGCTCCCTTCCTCTCTGTGTCAGCCCCCCTAATATTGGAACACTGCTATCATGTCTCCTGTGATACTTCGTTTCACTAGACTAGCCATGCCCATTTCCTGCAACCGTTCATTGTATATTTTAGCTTCCAGTCCCCTAATCATCTTGTTTGCTTCTTCTCTGCACTCTATCTAGAATCTCAACATTTTTTTATAGTGTGGTGACTAAAACTGGATGTACTATTCTAGGTGTGGTCTTACTAAGGCTTTATAGCGTGGTATTAGTCCTTCACTTGATCGTGATTTTATGCCTCCGTTAATGCAATGTAGGATTGCATTGGCTTTTTTCGTAAGAAGAGAAAAACCAGAATTTCACTGTCTTGAAACCCTGAATTATATAACAGTTTTGGTTTCTAAGAAATGTAACAAATCGCTTTGAAATCTGCAATTTTATGGCAGAAAAGAAAACCAACAGAAAACAAAAACTGTTTGACTGACAGGGTGCTGCAGGAGGCTCTCCAGGCCAAAAATGGGGTGCATGGGGGCTGCCTGTGCCCCACCTGTGCCCCATTTTGGCCAGCAGGGTGCTGCAGGAGGCCATCGAGGCCAAAATTGAGCCATGCGGGGGCTGCCCGCACCCCCATGCCCCATTTTGGCCAGCATTATTATAAAATAATATTCATCATATCATGACCATATTATGATGCAGTTATGCAGTTCACCTAGTCTTAGGTACAGACTAAATATGGTAATTCAAAATTTACCTGAAACATAATTGTCGGCTTCCAGCTGAGTGAAGTATGCATTTACCTGTTGTAGCAGCAGGCTTGGTTACTTGAAACATCAGAAAGGTTTAGTAGCTGTCGGAATTCCACACTCCTCCCATGGACTCTTTTATTCAAGTGAATGAGAACTGCTAGAGAGATGGAAAACACATTTTGAGGTGTATTAGATTATCCCACCTCCTTTGAGCTCCATGCTATAATAGAATTTCTGTGTTACATCTACCTTGCCTAAATTGTAAATATGCTGCAATAAAAAGGCAGATAGAGAATGGATATGTGTAAACAATTGGTCTAAGCAGAGGAATTCATTTCTGCTGGACTTCCTGCAGCAGCCCAAATAAATCTGACCTGAAACCAAATATCAAGTTCGCTTAGAATTGTTTTAATTGGTATGCTTGTATTTATTAAGATAATAAGGAGGAAAAAATGTGGTTCACACAAAGATAAGAACTTGCTGTGATATATTTCTCTCCATTATTACTATTAAATATAGTATTATTTATGGTGTTATTACTACATTATTACATTATTAAGTATAGCATTATTACTACTAAGATCATGGCATCCGGCCCTCTCAGTTCTTGGCAAATAGATGGGGGAGAAATGGAAGTAGTGACAGACTTTATTTTCCTGGGCTCCAAGATCACGCAGATGGGGACTGCAGTCAAGAAATTAAAAGATGCTTGTTCCTGGGAAGGAAAGCTATGGCAAATCTAGACAGCATACTTGTTGTGACACAGGCCCAAGTAGGTATTATCAGACGCAATCAGTTCTAAACAAACAGACTTTATTAGAACAGCTGAGAATTAACTCATTCTCAATGTAATCCAAACTAATTCAAAACAAATTCTTCATAACACAGTTCTTCAGCCTTATCACCAACCTTGGTCTACTGTGGCAAACTGCCGAAGGCTTTTCTTGGCAAAAGCTCAGAAGCAGAAGATGGTGACAAGAGGCGGTGGTGAGGCCCCTCCTCAAGAAGCCCTCTCTGGATCCGGCTGTTTTGGTAAACTACTGTCCTGTCTCCAATCTTCGCTTCGTGGCGAAAGTTGTCGAGAGTGTGGTTGCGTGACAGCTCCCATAGTACCTGGATGAAACTGTCTATCTGGATCCGTTCCAGTCCAGCTTCAGACCTGGGTACAGCACGGAAACGGCATTGGTCGCGTTGGTCGATGATCTCTGGAGGACTCAGGACAGGGGATGTTCCTCTGTTCTGGTCCTATTAGATCTCTCAGCGGATTTTGATACCATCGACCATGGTATCATGCTGCTCTGGCTGGAGGGGTTGGGAGTGGGAGGCACCATCCTACGGTGGTTCTCCTCTTATCTCTCCGACCAGTCACAGTCCATGTTGGCTGGGGGGCAGAGGTCGACCTCGAGGCACCTTGTTTGTGGGGTGCCACAAGGATCGGTCCTCTCGCCTCTCCTGTTCAACATTTGTGTGAAGCCGCTGGGTGAGATCATCCATGGATTTGGGGTGCGATGCCATCTGTACGCTGATGATACTCAGCTGTACATTTCCACCCCAGACCACCCCAACGATGCCCTTGAAGTGATGTCCCGGTGCCTGGAGGCCGTGCGGGTCTGGATGGGGAGAAACAGGCTCCGACTCAACCCTTCCAAGACCGAGAGGCTGTGGCTGCCAGCGTCCCGATATAGTCAGCTGGTGCCATCGCTGGCTATTGGGGGCGAGTCATTGGCCCCCACGGAGAGGGCTCGTAACTTGGGTGTCCTCCTGGATGCATGGCTGTCTTTAGAAGAGCATATGACGGCCATGACCAGGGGGGCTTTCTATCAGGTTCGCCTGATACGCCAGTTGCATCCCTTTCTGGATCAGGACTCCCTATGCACGGTCACTCACGCCCTCGTCACGTCTCATCTGGACTACTGCAATGCTCTCTACATGGGGCTCCCCTTGAGGAGCACTCGGAAGCTCCAGCTGGTCCAGAATGCGGCCACGCGGGTAATTATGGGGGCAACATGGTGCCCCCATGTGACACATTGCCTGCGCGAGCTGCACTGGCTTCCGGTGGTCTTCCGGGTGCGCTTCAAGGTATTGTAAAGCGCTTCATGGCTTAGGGCCCAGTTATTTACGAGACCACCTTCTGCCACCGATAACCTCCCACTGGCCAATTCGCTCCCACAGAGAGGGCCTCCTCAGGGTGCTGTTGGTCAAGCAATGTCGATTGATGACCCCCAGGGGGAGAGCCTTCTCTGTGGGGGCACCCGCCCTCTGGAACGAGCTACCCCCAGGAATACGACTGATCCCGGACCTCTGTACCTTCCGTCGAGCTTTGAAGACCTTCCTATTTCAGCAAGCTGGGCTGGCTTAAAATTTTAATGGGTTATTTTAAGGGTAATGGATTTTAATTTTTGGGAAGCCAATTCGATTTAATTCTGTTTTAAATTATTTTAAATTTTATATTGTATGTATTTTAATTTTGGCTGTTCACTGCCCTGAGTCCTTGTCACATTTGTCACATTTATAGCCACTCATCTGATGAATGGACATAAAACCAAACAATAAAAAACAGTAGAAATAGTAACATGTAGGATTCTTATGACTTCAGGGAGTTTCCTCTAACCAGAGGAATCAATTTCGACTGGTCTTCCTGCAGCAGCCCAAATAAATCTGATCCGAAAGCAAATATCAAGTCTGGCTTAGAACTGTTTTAATTGATATGCTTGTATTTATTAAGATAATAAGGAAGGGAAAATGTGGTTCACTGCACACCAAGATAAGAACTTGCTGTGATATATTTCTCTCCATTATTACTATGGATCCTTATTTGCTAAAAAATAATCCAATTTAGAATGGCTGATTCTGCTGGATGTTTTGGACGGAGACCTTGTATGTCAATTTTAACTTCTTTAGACTCATGACCTGGTTTTCCTTTGGCTTTCTCCCTCTTCTCTTAATGTTTCAGTTATTGCTCTTTTCTGCTCTTGAAAAGCAGTGCATTTGTGACATTTTGCTGCCATTTCATCTCTCTTTCCTCCTCCTATTTTCTCCAAAGCACCAAGACTGTGAGAAGGTTTGGGGAGGGAGGGAGGGAGGGAGGGAGGGAGGGAGAGAGAGAGAGAGAGAGAGAGAGAGAGAGAGAGAGAGACTGGTCAAAATTCAGCCAGCCAGTCAAAATTTAAATTTTTTTAAAGAATTAAAATAAATAAACTGTTTTTTTCAAATTTTGTAATTGAAAAAGGAAATTGCAAAATTGCAAAAAAATATTAAAATATTGAAAAAAGTATTTTTGAAAAAGTGAAAAACATTGAAAAAGATTAAAATAGTGAAAAAAGATTTAAAAATTTTAATTTTTAAAAAAAAATTGGAATTTTTTTTTTCAAAATTGATTTTGAAAAAAATTAGATTTTAAAAATTTATGGAAGTTCTTGGCCCTCTATGAAGTGATATTCTTTCCTTTTGGCTGGAAATCTCTGGCTGTTTTTTACAAGATGCTTTGCTCTTAACCCTCTACTCCCTGCCTTCAAAATTTATCCCTTTCGTCCCTGACTAGTATTTTTTGTAGTTATAATTTTCCTCCCTGCCTTCTAGCCCTTTGCTGGGTTTTTGGGTATGATGTGCTCATCTGGGCATTCTGCTTCCATTAGTTGCTGCTCATGTGAATGATCCACTATTACTTTATGCAGACAATTCACCCATTATATCTAGAACCACAACTAGCCTTTGATATGCCCTTAACACCTTAGCATGCTAAGAGGAACAGCCAGCTTGTGGTAACTGATCAGAAAATCAAAATAAGAGACCCTGGAAGCTCTAATGGATAATAGGGAATGAAAGGATTGAGTAAGGGTTTTCCAATATTTGGGTGAGTTATTTTAAAACAGAGGCCGGAATTCATTGATTATGTGGTCTTGCAGGCCTGATAAAACACTTCATCCATTGTCATGTTTTTCCCACAGGAAAGGTGGAGAATATATTATGTGACTTTAAAACTAGTCACAGCTAAGTTGTCTTAAGATTCTTAGCTACATCTTTAGCCAAGTTATAAGTCAATGAAATTGTGCAAAGTAGTTTGATCAGACCACTGCTCCTTATCTGAAAATTCATATCCAATGTGACTTTGATGCTTGAGATTGGCTAAAAGCGAGTTAAGAGCTTGACCACACTATATTAAATATATGTTTCAGTATTTGCCACATTTGTTGCCAGTCATCAGATGAATGGACATAAAAACCAAACAATATAAACAGTAGAAATAAATAACATGTAGATTACATGAGAGAGTGGGTAAAAACTCAGATATAATAGAGCCATCTTGAGGACTTCCTGATCCCAAGGATTCCTAAGGTTGCTGGAAATACAATGATTTCAGATCTCCAGAAGGTTGATAGGGTTGATGCCTGTCAGATGGAACCCTTAACATGTCCTTCCTGCCTGACTTGATGGATGGACAGATGTAATTGGGAAGAGGAGATCCCTCAACTAACTTGGCTCCATGCCATGTAGGGCTTTAAATGTGGACACTAGCATTTAAATGTTCAATTCTTATGTGTTTTTATTTTATTTATTTATTTTTCAGATTTCTATACACCCTTCTCCTTTCGGACTCAGGGTGGTGAACAGCCAAAGTAAAACATTTGTACACAAAAGTTAAAATAGATTTAAAATAATTAAATAAAGTTTGGCCCATAATTTTAAAACATTTCAATTCAAAAACCAATTTCAAATTTTAAAAACCCACCATAAAATCAGGACAACCTGGCTAACTGAAAAAAATAGGTTTTAAGGACCCGACGAAAAGTCCGGAGGTCTGGGATCACTCGTATCTCTGGGGGTAGATTGTTCCAGAGGGTAGATGCCACCACAGAGAAGGCTTTCCCCTGGGGGTCGCCAGCCAACATTATCTGGCCGATGGCACCCTGAGGAGGCCCTCTCTGTGGGAGCAAACTTGCCGGTGGGAGGAAATTGGTGGCAGAAGACGGTCCCATAAGTACCCCGGCCCTAAGCCATGGAGCGCTTTAAAGGTGATCACCAACACCTTGAAGCGCACCTGGAAGTCCACCGGAAGCCAATGCAGCTAGCGCAGGAGAGGAGTCACATAGGAGCACCCAGTCGTTCCCATAATCTCCCGCGCGGGCCGCA